TCCACACTCCACACTCCACACTCCACACTCCACACTCCACACTCCACTCCACTCACTCACTCACTCCACTCACTCACTCCACTTTACATCCTGCTAGCACTGCCCGCCGTGGTCGGGATATGACCACTAGACAGCTTTGATGGTCGTTTCGAGTGTGTTACGTTTTGAAGGTCTCATGCGGATCTGATCGCAAAATCCAGAGCCTCCAAACTTCTCTCTCCGCCTCCTTCTCTCTCTCTCTCTCGTCCCTCTCATCCTTGTTCATCACATCATCAGACACTTTATCACACACCCACATCCACACACACACGCACGCCATCTTACCACACACACACACACCTCCTCCCTCCCCTCCTTCTCATCCTCGTCCATCACATCATCACTTATACTACACGTCTTAGCAAAACCGCCTCATATACCTTCTCTCCTCACACTTCGTTCTTGACTTTTCATCTCACTACTCCGTCTCCCATGTGTGTTCATATACAATTGAAATTTGTAAAACTTATCATGTGGGGTTATCCGGTCCTTTTATTTTTTACAAACGGTGACTAACACCGTGCAGCATGACCTACACGCAAGTTTGAGGTTGAGAGTTGCTACAGCTACTCAGGGTCGCTTAAAGTATCTGTGCGACAAACAATATCCTGGGTCCTGGCAGAGGTTGGAATAGAGTCAGGCACAATTCACTCCAACCCTCGTGCCCCCAACCACCTCTAGTCTAACTCCCATAGACGCTCTTCTTGTTGCTTGGACCACATAACCCTCCTGAGCACACTCCAAACGATCATGGCCTAAATCCCGCAAGGTTCCATGGAACATCGTTTGCCTCCCGATTTCTCTCCAGATCCATTGATCGGGTGCATGTGAATCTCTCACGTGCGTGTAGCCAATGGATCAATACAACTTGGTCAAGAAACCCAAACTAATAGCGATGGCCTCCAATCTAGTAGCGATGGCCTCCTAGTAGCTTCTATAGCTCCTAGTAGTAAGGCCAGGAGCCCCTAGTAGCGTCCTTGATAGCGATGGCCTCCCTAGTCCGAAACTGGGTGGCCGCCCAACTGCCTCAACCCCACGCGAGCCTGATGAGTCCACGGCCTCTCGGGGACGCTGCTCAGCCAGCAACGAGGACCCTTCCGATTCTCGTCGTTGGGAGCTGCCCATCCACCAGGAAGAGATTCAGCAAGAGGTCCCGGGTTTTGGCTTGATACAACAGTTCTTGATTCCACATTCAGACTTGACCCAACCCCAAAAATACATAGGGCGTAGTTGAGGTGGAACTTGATTCGCAAAATAGCCGATTCCAGTCCAAAGCCAGACCCAAACCCCCAGGTTCAGTAGTTCATTGTCGGTGATTTCTTGTTCCCTGGAGGTTTTGGATTTTGTTTTGCCCACCTTTGCCAGGGAGTCGTTGACTTTCCAACATCTTCCACCGGCAAACGATCCCGCCGAAATCTTCGGATCCCGCCTCTGGTGTCAAGCACGTGGAGAAGTCGCTCCTCAAGAGCCGTGGGTCTCGAGGGCTCGGCATGGCCTGGCAGGATGAGGCACCGCAGACCGGCAGGAAGTCGTGGCCCACCGTTTGTTTAATAGCCTGAATCCTGAAGAACCCTTGTTTTCCTAAGGATTTTACACTACAAAACCAGATTCGATTAAAGTGTTTACTCAGGCTGTCCTGCCGGTCCATGCGGACAATCAGGGGGACAAGAAGTCCTGTGACAAGTCCTAGACCAGCCAGCCAGTCACGTTGTTCACAGACCCCTGATGGTTGGACATGACAGGCTGTGCCAACAAGACACGCTTGGGGGTGTGTCGATGGATGGGACCAGTCTACCCAGCCAGGGCCATGGGCCCAGGCCATGGGCTGAATGGGTCAGGTTTCGAGTTCTGGTCGCCAGCGCCAGCCCGAGCCGACCCAGAAAACGCCAGGGCCAGTGGAAGAGGGCACGCAACGCACGGACGACCGCGTTTCTGGGACCAAAGGACGAGATGGAAGCGTTTGCCACGATTGGACATTGGACACCCCCGACAGGATGGTCTAGGACTGCGTAGGTTCATCGGTTGACAAAGCCACTGGATGATCAACATGTAAAGACCTTGCAAAGGTCCAAAGCAGCTGCGAGACTTGCAGCTGTACGATTCCGAATGCATCACGAAATTCAAACATCAATAAACCCATATAAAACACATAGGAGCAAGGACGCTACTAGGGGCTCCTGGCATCGCTACTAGGAGCAAGGACGCTACTAATACCGCAAAACACGTGAGACTCAAAACCGACCAACATAGACTAATTTAAGCACAATTAAGACACTGGACAACTCAAATTCATGCCCATTTTCACAGAACCCAAACCAAAGCTGGGATGTGGGTTCTTGCCACAATGGGTTTGGAAAGGCGAGGTTGGGCTGCGTTAGGTTTTGGCACCTAATCAAAATCTGAGTCCACACCTGAGTTGTTTTCTTATGCTTTCTTTCGATTTGCCCTATTGTTCTCCTTAAACACATCAAACAAAGAACTTCTACAACACACGCAAAAAACACATCCACACTCGAACTAATAATCAAATTTCAATCCACCAGACTCAGCAAACAAATTCAAAGCCTGGACTCCACTGGCCAAGCACCTTTTCGCCCCCCCCACACCTTTTCTCCACCCAACGCACCCATGTGCTTGGCAGTTTTGTTTCTTGTTTCTTCTATGTAGGTCAGTCCAGTTGTTTCTATATATATATATTATAAATATATGGTACCCCCCCCCAAATGTCTACCTCTTTGTTTATTTACAGAACTTCTTTCTAGGCCTTGAATCTTGAATCTTAAACCTTGAATATTGAATCTTAAATCTTGAATTCCCTCTCGTTTGCAAATGTTTTGCAATCGTGTGCAAACGCTACTTCTGGATTTTGTGCTGAGTACAGTGTGGAAGGAGCATTCATAAACTTCCTGAACGCAAACGTCTGCAATGGTAAAAACAAACATCAAATACTCAAAAAATGCACGTGTATTTTTTGTTTTTGGCAGCAATAAACCTTCAAAAAACCCAATGTTTTTTGTTTTTTATGATGAATTCTATTGAACTCTAAATAATCCATTTTTTGTCACACTTAATTCTATGTTTTCTAATTTTTAGAATTTAAAATTCGAATTTGAACCTGATTGAATTCAAGTTTGAATCGAATTGATTTAACATCAAAGTTTAGTTTCAATCGTCAATTTGATTTTAATTCAATTCCGACTGAATTTGAATTCAATTCTAATCTAGTTCTATTGTAAATGTTATTTTAACTTTAATTCTAATTCAAGTCTAATTCTATTTCAATATTACACTAAGTGAATTCTAATCGAGCTGCAGGTTAAGCAATTCTGCTATCTTAATTCTAACCCTATTCTTTTTCAAACGAAGAAACTTAGGTTACATCTTAGTTTAATCAAAATAGTTAGTTTTAATCTAATTTTATGTTAATTCAAATTTAGTTGTGTTTACATTTCAATTTATTTGTAATTATTTTTGGGCTTCAGCTAGTTTAAACCTTATACAATTCAATTTTGACTTGTTTACAACTCTAGTTTAATTCGATTTTGATTTTCAATTTAGTTTTGATTGATTCTAATCTAATTTTAATTCGATTCTAGTTCAATGCCAATTTATTTCAATTTCAATGCAAATTGAATTCTCATTTAACTCTGACTTTATTCTAGAGAGAGGGCTTTGCTGGGGGTGTGATTTTAAGAAGACAACCTTTAAGAAAGCAACACATAAATTATATACAAAGCGTTCATTTTAAAGGCAAGATGCACTCTCTAGAAGCAAATTAGATGGGCATAAAAGACATAACTAGATTAGAACAATGAAATTCTATTAGATTTACACATAAACTGCATAGAAATTAAACTGAAAAGAAGTAACCATCAACTAGAAATAAGTGTGCATTGAATTCCATTTTAAAAGGTATATGGAAGTTACTCAGCATTAAAATTGAATTGAATGATAACTGAAATAGAATTAACAATTAATTACAGTAGATTCAAATAGATTTCAATTTGATTTCAATTAGAATTGAATTAGAATTAGGGCATTCAGGATGTCAATTATGTGTTGCTTTCTTAAAGGTTGTTTTCTTAAAATCACACCCCCAGCAAAGCCCTCTCTCTAGAATAAAGTCAGAGTTAAATGAGAATTCAATTTGCATTGAAATTGAAATAAATTGGCATTGAGCTAGAATCGAATTAAAATTAGATTAGAATCAATCAAAACTAAATTGGAAATCAAAATCGAATTAAACTAGAGCTGTAAACAAATCAATTTGATTTGTATAAGGTTTAAAATAGCTGAAACTAACAAATGCATTGAACTAGAATCCAACCAATATTAATATAGAAATAATCGAACTTAAATTGGGAATGAAACAAATTAACTATATAAAAAGATAGACATTTGGGGGGGGGTAGCAAAAAAAATATATTTATATATTTGTTGTTCTTTCTTGAGTCTGGTTCTGAGTTCTGAGTCCCCTGGTTGTTTATCTGTTGAGTCCTTTCTTAGTGTACTTTTAGGTATACCTTTTCCAACATGATGTGAGCTATCGAATTTCTAAGCCTTCGTTTTGACAATCCGAGGCAGTCAAGGCCACATCTCAACTATAGGGGCAATGAAGACTAAAATAGACCCAGCGTGTGGTGTGCGACTGTGATAACGTAGTGCTTGAAGGACATGAAAGGGATGATCGAGTCGAACTGTCTGCCAAAAGAAACAAGGTTGGTCAAAAAGGCCACGAATATGTGATTTTGGGACAAATGAGGGCTACGCGACCCTCCCTTCAACTGGATCTTGGATGTGTAAGGCTTCTCCGCAAGCGGATTGCGGATGGCATCATCTTCCAGTGCATCTCTCTTAAGGTTCTTTCAGTCAGTGCATTTCCACCTTCATCAACCACAGCCTCAAAAATTTCAAGGATGGACGATACCCAGGGATACGGAACCCAGCCAAATATAGCATCCCAGCATGATCAACGCCGAGCGAAACTTCGTGGGCCTCGTTTCCATCTTCCGGACGAGTCGGGGGATGTAGGGAGAACCGCTATCCCCAAGCGCTTCGAGGATGGGTCTTCGACTGATCCCTCCATCTCCGCCCGGCCATCAAGGAGCGGATCAGCTCAATTCGCACCTGGACACACTCACAACATTGGCCACAGAAACCGAAGTTGTGAGAAATCAAAGCTGGATACTTCGGTGGTTCTAGGATTCAACTTGCGACAATCTGTAGAGCAGGACTTCTCTGGGTTCTCTAGCCTCAAGGGTCGTTCCCCTCCACAACTAAGCCCATACGCCAAGGGCCAAGGGTGTCATCGGTGTGGCAGGGCTGACTCATGAATCAAATCTAAGGGAAATACTGTACATCAAAACGGTCACAGCACAGGAGTGCAACATCTGGTGATTCAGCATCTGGAACAGTTCACACACACATATTGAGGAAGATAACTTCTCACCCAATTCAATATGGAATTTCATACAAAGACCGAACTGAATTGCATGATGTGTGTTTGGCGCACACACACATGGTTGGTTTCCAAAATGTCTTTTCCCAAAACGGTGCACTCACAATTCCATGGGGGCCCGCTTCTAAATCTCCTTTAAACTCCAACCACACTCAAACGACACGGATGTTAAACATGAAAGCATGTCAACTGCAAAAGCTGTGAGAGGTGTCTAGCGCGGACCTTTTCAGGGGGCCTGTTGAGCTGCTGGAGCTGTTGTTGTTGCTGCTACTGCTGCTGGTAGACTTAGTTGTTTCCAATTTTTAGTTTTCAGAAATCTTCAGAACGACATAGGAAGGACGTAAGAGTTGACAGTTGACTCAAAAGATTTGGGTGATGGATGGGCAGAAGGGTCAAGAAATGGACCGTCATCTAGCGCGGTGCTAGCACGGATCTAGCGCCAGCCTAGCGTTCTTTATCCTGTCAGATTCTTTATTTTCCTCCTTGCTTGTCTTCTTCTTGTTGTGCGTTCTTCTTCTTCTTCTTGATTGTTTTTCCTTTTTCTTGTCTTGCTTCTTCTTTTTCCTGCTCTCTGCTTGTTTCTTCTTTTTCCTGCTTGCTTATCCTGTTATGAAGAAACCTAGCGCCAACTTAGCGCCAATCTAGCGCTGCCTTGCTGTATCACCAGTCTGCTGGGGGCCCGCTTCTAAACGAAGAGTTAAAACACATCTATCTCCAACCTTAAAAGTTTACGTTTACCGTTTATCTATATTTTTGGAGTAGGGCTTTTTAAGCGCAGTCCACATGCTCTCGCTGTCACACGCCCAGTGTTGCTGTGCGCAATCAAACCAGGCTTCAAAGCAGTGGGAATGGTCACGTGTGAAACGCAACACATGACTTGATCATGCAGGGCTCTGGTGGCTCAACATCCATGGCCGCATCTGGCTATGGCTATGGCGAAAACAAATCAGGGGAAGTGTGACACAAAATAGACCCCAAAACCGTGTCCCAGATGGTCCCAGCGCCTTGCTTTTGAATAGTATCAATTTCAGTTCATTTCCCTCCGGTTTCACCATGGGACGGCCACCTTGCTTTTCCGATTGGCAAAGGCAATCGTGGGATAGAGCTCTTTGTGCCTGCGATGTCGGCCATGTTTGACCAGCTGGGATCAAATGGTTTGTTCAAACACTCACCAACTACAATAAGCAAGTGCCGAATGCCTTTAGGATCCTTTAGGCAAAGTACAGGCGCATAGCCAAAACTGAGGTATACAAGGCCTTTGGGCACAGGCACCTATCGACAACACTTGAGGGACAAAGAGGCTTTAGGCAAAGGTACCTCGAACAGAACCAGAAGAACCAGAAGAACGAACCGAAGATCAACATGAATATAAATGAATCAACATGTGGGGCCGTGGCCTAGCAAGTGCCAATGATAACCATCACACATCATCCCTCCCTCCGACTCTCCGGTTCCGTTCGGGTTCCGGATCCGGATCTGCGCACTTCAGGGTGTCTTTCACGATGTCCGTCCTGAAATTCCCACCTCAGGCAGTCGAGCCGAGCGGCGCGTCTTGTGTCGTCGGCAGGCGGAGGGAGGCCGAGCCGTTGCCCTCAACGGGTTTGTCTCGTGACATGATATGACATGGTATGACAAGCTGTTAAAGAAGAACTGACTGCGCATAAAGGAATAAATGATGTCTTAGTTAGATGCGGGAAGCGCGAGTAGGGTCAAAAGGACGTAATCCTCCGCCTCACTAGCACTATCAATAGATATCAATGGAGAGTTTGCGCTTTCATGTGAGTCAGAGTAACCACTTTGGGGACCCTCCATCCTAATAGCAATGGCCTCCAACCTGATAGCGATGGCCTCCAACCTCAAAGTAACCACTTTGGAGACCCTCTCAATTGGTACCTCGCTTCGGTGTTTCTTTCCACTCGACGCAGGCCCCGCTTCGTTCTTCGAGGCCTGGCTCGAGGATGAGGAAAAACGAGTCTTCACAGTCGGGATCTGAGCTAGTCGAACGCGTCCGACTCTGGCAGCCTCTGCCGCCCACGCCCCCGAAACCTGCGAAAGGGCCGGTGGCTCAGAAACGCGCGGCGCCGCGGCTTTGGGCCACAAGGTCAACAGCCAAAACCTGCACCGAGGTCGCACAGCGGTCAGGCCGTCCATTCTGAACACCGGCAATTCTGTTGATCTTCCATTCGACGTATTCACATGTTGAGGACTGTATGCAGGACTGTATTATTGAGCTATCAGGTTTTGACGTATTATTCTTGAACTTCTTCCGCAAGCACGCGGGGCATATTTTTCTGCTCTGAATGACGCGGATGCTCAATCCATAGCAGTTGGTTCGTGCAAATGACCTCCCTTTCCCTGTCACCTTCTTACATGATACAGCTCCAGTTCCACCCGACCAGCTAGCTCTCAGAACCTGCGAGGTCCCACAGCACAGGTGATGTTATCCCACAGTCTTTGGTTTGACCTTATGGCAGCTGGATAACACCACCTGCAAGAGGAATGCTCTGCCAAACCCACTTAGTCAACAAGTCGCTTTTACGTGGGCTCCAGTCACGGCGCGCTCCCGCTGGAAGTGCCGCTCCCGCCTGGAAGGAACCGGCATCCGTGCCCTCACAGCAGTAGTCCAAGACATTCACCGCACAGTTCCGCTGTGGCACATCCAAAAGCTTCTGCAAGCCCAATCCCGGAGTCACATGAGCGATCAAGGCCTTGTGAAGTTCTTGGAAGGGGCAAGGTGTTGGAAACAAAATTAGGCCAGGGAAGCCTTTAAAACAAAACACACATATGGGGTCAAAAGGAGAATCGTGCTGTTCCTATTGTAGGTCTTATTACCCTACGTACAATTTCTTTCTTCAACTCCTTCAACTTTTCACGAATAAACCACACATTTGTAATTTGTCCACCATGAGAAGTGGCCCTGCAAGACTTCTTTCTGGCACACGTTCAACACAACACAAGGGACATGTTTCACATGTTTCCGTCATCGCGCCTTGTTGACCCACGAATGGCACACCAGCAACACATTTTGCCCCCTGTTCTGCCGCAAGACTTTGCCAAGGGAAGCAAGCACACGTTCAATCAAATCCTGAGGGCAGATTTAGCATCATGGTGATTCAGCTTGTCATTGAACAACATGGACGAACAAGCTAATGGGAAAGCGCCGGGAACTGCCTGATGAATCCATTTGTGTAGATGACTTAACCTGCAACTCTCCCGCCCTCATGCAAGAATACGCCAAAACCCAAAGCACTCCTGTGGGCTTTCACCTTCCACTCCTCCAACGCGTTCCTTGCGTCGCGACGAAGAAAAAACGCCGCCGACAACGGTGAGCCCCGCTGGGCCAGAACTCAAGACGATGTTATGCCCGTTTGATGTGCCCGTCCCGGTCTTCTGTCTGCTCAAGTCCCAAACATGTTTGCAAGTCTTTCCCTGGCTCATGATCAATCTCTATCTGATTCACCCCTGGAAAACCTTTCGCATGGCTTTGGTTACATCCCAATTATGGCTCCTTGACACACCCCATTTTGCGATATAGTATATCCAGACTTTGCCTGGTCTCCCACGAATCTAGGAAAACCACCTTTATAAAACCACCCAGCTTTTCATCGTCAAGCGCCGCCTAGCGCTTCTTCCATCTAGTTTAGCCCGCACACTCGGCGTGCGACCCGCTGGACCACGCGCCCCGCTCGAAAAAGCGCGACCCGACAGTCCGGTGCCGTCGCCTGGAGCTTCCCGTGGCGCCAACTCTCCGCGATCGAGATCATCTCCGAGCGCACGTCGGCAATGCGAGCACCCTCCTGGGAACGGCGTTGAACACGCGCGAGGACGTGGGGGGCGAAGCGGATGGAGCTTTTTGGAACCCCCAAAAAACGAAGACGTGTCCCCCAAATTGCAGTGAGATAGGAGTGTTTTCGCTCAAAGTGGCCTTCCCTGTTCAGAAAATCATAGGAAATCCAATTCCCTTGTCACAAGAAACTTCCCCGTCTCTAAAGAGCTGGCGGATGGAGGACCGAAACATCCTGAGTAGACCCGACTCAGGCAGTGGAGTGGGCTCAACGAAAAACTGAGAGCGGGTTATCCTGAAAAACATGTGTGGATGTCTAACCCCCCCACGTTCCCTTGAACACTTTGGGCCTTATCTTCGTCCGTGTCGTTTTACAGTGCTTTGACTGTAATTCGTGTACATTTGTGTACAATGCATGCACTTGTGCCGCGTGGAACTTGCAAACATGACGCCTTGGCACAGGGAATTTTCCAGAGTAGCACAGCTATCTGCATGTGAGTGGGCCACTTGCATGTGAGTGTACAGTGTACAGGTAGGTGTTTTAGGTTCGATGCATTATTGTTTTGTTATCGTTATCGTGCATGGCACAAACATCGATTTCTATGCACAAAAACGGCAACACAATACTTCTTGTTGTTGTTTTCGGTGGATGAAACATCTTTCTGGCAAAACGCACATGCGAAGACTAAATGAGCAGTGTTTTTTTACATATAACAGCTATTATTATTATCATTGAAAAATGCCTACAGCAAAGTCTACGGTTCGCCTACGTTTCCACAGTGTGAGCCTACGACACACATATACACCTCACCTTTGCCTACAAAGAAACCTACGAACGTGAGGTTTCGTTTCAATGTTGTGTGCTTCGCCTACGCTACCATTGGGGAATTGGCTTTGAACTTTTGGGATTTGGGCAAGCAAACAAGCAAACAGCATGATAGCAAACTTTTCAACATTTCGATGAGGTGATGAGGAGGAGCTTGACGATGAATTTGACCTACCACTGCTGCTGCTACCACCTTGCGCAGTCTGCCTTAAGCGTGCAGATTGGCGGCGTTTCTTGGCAGCAGCAGCTTGAAAACGAAGGGCCGCTGCAAACAAGACTTCGGATGAGGTTTATGTACATAGCTACGAGTTGTGGACGGAAAGGATCCGCTCAAATCTACTTGAGAAGTACAAATGGGCAAGTGGTCACACGAAGCATTTTCGCCTACGGGATTCTTACGGAGAACCTACGCTGTGCCTACGGTACGGGTACGACATGAAAACGTCGAAAAAACTGCCTCTAGACAAATCTAGACTATCTATGGTGGTTGACACAAGCCCGCACGCCACATGAAGGTGGAAGGCTTGGCGTGGCCATTGGTCTACAAATCTCAGGAGTTTGAGGTCACTAGTCTCTGAAAGTGGGTTGAAAAAGTGAAGTAGTTGCCAAGAGCAAGAGGACATCTAAACAAACAATTCATATCTGCAGAGTGTCTTCATGAAAACCCTGATTGAAAATGCTGCCTACGACAAGTGCCTACGACAAATCATTGTGCCAAAATGCCTACGGGGCGTCTACGCCCCCAAGCAGAATGCCTACGCCAGCCTTTAATCAGCCACCAATGATGTCAATGCTTATATAAACCCTTTCATCTCAAAAAAACTCAGCTCAAATGGGGTTTACATACTCTCTCATGGAGTTTGGGAGTTCACCACTCCAAACACAACAGGAAATGGACAAATGGTTATGCTTATTCACCCCCGGATCGATGGATCTCCTGTCCAGGTCCATAGAATGAATCTTGGGATTCTTTGGGGGGTCCTATCGACACCTTTCAAACTCTTCGGCGACCGTCTATGCGAGTGTATGACATTCGGCGATCGTCTACGGCTGAAAAAAGACACAAACTCCAGGCGCAACTCCATTCTAGGCGCAATCATGCAACTCCTTCAAGCAACCTAACCATCATAAACCCATCCAACGAGAGTGGGTCGGTCCATCCTGATTCCCATTGACTGATCGACCTGTGGGATGTGAGCAAATCAATCTGATCTTGATCTCCCATTCTTTCGTCTATGATGTTTCATGCTTTTCAAAATGATCTAGTTTGCCTAGCAATGAGAAAAGTTAACTTGGGGTTGGGAATTCAGAAGCAGCATTAAGCACTCAGAACGTGTCTAGGTTTGTCCACGACATCGGCTAACACACACACACTCGCGATAAAGTGCATGCGGTCTGAATCTCACTTGCCCTGAAGCTGCCTAAGTAATTCAAGAGCCCTATATTACAGGGATGAAGTGGAGCGGCGTCTGACTCTCAGCAAAGAAGCAGATTTCCAAAGGTCCAAAGTAGCAGTAGCAGAAGAATCAAAGTTCCAAACCAAACATCGAACGATGACCGAGCGATGAGTGCAAGTCTGCAAAATCATCAACTCTTTACAGCAAAGCCAGTGCAATGGACAAAGCCTTGTTCTAATAGCAAGCAAGGACCAAGTAGGAAATATCTGGTCATAACGCAGGTACGCTGGGATGATCAGTCACAGTATCACCAGGAAACTGAGCATGTCTTCGTTGGTGGACTCTCGTTCCTGTTGCCACACCCTGCATAATGCCAACAGGCTTCCTATGATTCCAAGGGCTACACACATCTCTTCGCACACTACCACATTACCTGCCCTCACATTGGTCCCTGGTTTTTCTCAAAATGGACTGTCAGCCCCAAGGAACTTGCACAAGTCTTCAAACATAATCATTGGCCTGATTGGAGGTTTGAAACATATCACACAACTCCAGGCAAGTCGATATGAAACAATATGAAATAGTTTCTGGGAGATTTTGGAAATCTTTTCGAAATAGCACTGGGGATTTTTTTGAAACAGCTCTGTGAAACAAAAAAAATGGCAACCCCAGGTCTTCAAATCCAGCCACGATTCAACCCTGATGCAGGCTGGCTTCTAGGTGCCCATAGCGCATCTCATGCAGATTCTCCAGAACTTCCTTGGACTGATCACCGGGCATGCAGATTCTCAGCACATGAAATGAGAAGCAGGGGCTGAAGAACAAACATCTCCAACATCAAGCAACCACCACCCTGCCAAAAGTCCAGCGACACGACACCAGTTGGTCCTCTTCAGTGCCCTAAACCCTAAAACCCGAGTGCCAACCAAAGCTTCCGCTGTTGAAACGTCGTTTCGCTCCGCGGACAGCAGCTGGGCGCTTTGCCGCGCTCGGAGCTGACTGGAGGAGCCCACCAGCGCGAAGCGGCCTGGGTGAAGAAGGGGAGTAGTCTGGTTGTGGAGTGCCGGGCCAAGGACTTCGGTGGCGAGATTTGAATGAAAGAGTCAGGAGCAGAGTCGGGATGAGAAGGACATACAACTTGTTCTTTCTGGGGTCTTGTTTCACAGAATCCATCAGGAGAAACATGGAGTTTCTCCATGTTCGTATCATCTTGAAGAGGACTTCAGAAACTGGTCGTCCCCCAGTTTCAGCATGTCAACACTTCTGATCTTAAGAGCCTGGAGAGGCACATGGCACAATCCAAAATACCCACCAAGGCATGGAACGGCATCTGCATCCTTTTCGTATGGAACATCCCGGAGTTGGCACGTCCCGCTACTGAAGCCGCACAGCCTTGAGACTTCAGTCCCAGCAATTTTTCAGGAAATCGTCTTAAGAGATACTCTCATGAGTACGTCCTCAAAATGTGAATTTTGGCCTGTTGTCTCTTTAGGGGCGAAGGGTTTTCCAACTATAAGTATCTGTCCCTGCCAGGGCCGACGAACAAGAGAACTCCTCTTCCCATGTTTGAGAAAAACGTCATCCCATGCTGTACTTCATTTGAAGTAGTAACAAGAATCTACTAGGGGCTCCTGGCATCGCTACTAGGAGCAAGGACGCTACTAGGGGCTCCTGGCCGTACTACTAAGAGCAAAAAGCTACTAGGGTGGATCCCCTTCACCTCCACCTCCGACCCGACCGATGGACCGAGGCTCATTCCCGGAGCTCACGGGCGAGCTCCTACACCGAAATTCGTCCGGCGATGCGCTACGGCGATGCCCGGCGATTCACATCCTCCCTGGTGTTACTGATGGTATGGCCATATATCATACGATGTCACTCCGAAAGAAAGACCTCCTTCCTCACTGTCCACTGTAGCTTGAGTGCTGGATGAACTTGAGTGAATGGAGAATAAGTCAAGTAACACAAAGAAATCGGATGAACATGGTGTTCTATGCTTATGGACCAAATCCCTCTCGACCTGGAAAACGGTTTCTCCTTGTCTCTTTTCTATTGGACACCAAAAACTAAGGTATTCTGGTATTCTTGTGATTTCATAAATTGTACTACCCACCTTGGACCCACCCGCAAGATGGGCTTCCGTATACTTGTGTTCTCACTTCTCACCAAATAAGTCTCGAGTTTAAAGCCCTCTTATGTGATGTGAGCAACTACCATGTCATCATTGTAAACATACATAGTATAAGACTGTATACACGACAACAAGAAACATCAATCTCGACTTGTTAAACATCTTGAAAGCAGTCATAATGATCCCTCATGAGCTAGGACAGGTTCAAAAAACACCAGGGCGATACTCCTGGCGGGGAAGGACTCCCACATTGACATAGAGATGCAACTTCCAATTACTATCTCATGCGCACGATTGCCTTTATTGTCAGTGTTCACAATTTCTAGCTCATATTGCCGACAAGGGATGCCATCTCCCTCCAAGCGGTGTCCGTTCTTTTTTGCACAGCCAGGACCTACAACCTTTTTGCAAGCACGATCACGCCCAAGCTTGGTGAAAAACATGGGCAAACAAACCATTTCTACCATGCTCAACCTCTTCAGGCCCACTATTTACTAATGCTTGACAAATGCCAAAATGCATATTAAATTGACACCCATTTTGATGATGCAAGCAATGCTGAATTGTGCATTGCATTACTCACATGTCACAGCATTGGCTTGACATAGTTGTCCAAAGTAAACAAACACAAACAAAGGCAACTTCCAGATTCTAGGCCCTACGCGAACGACAACAACAACGACGACATCATCAACAACAACTACTACTGCGAGTACAACAACAACAACAAC